GCCGGGGCCCGCGGGCGCGGCCGGACCGCTGCGATGTGGCTCAAGCCTGAGGAGGTGCTGCTGAAGAACGCCCTGAAGCTCTGGGTGACTCAGAAGAGCAGCTGCTACTTCATCCTGCAGCGGCGCCGAGGGCACGGCGAGGGGGGCGGTCGCCTCACGGGTAAGGGGCGCGCCTGAGCTGGCGGGCGGCCGTTGCGGGTCGGGCCCGGACCTAGCTCCCCGCCCAGCCCTCGGCTCCCAGGCCGGTGCTGCAGAGCAGGTGGCGATTTCATGGGAGACGCCGGGCCGAGCCGGCCCTGCCGCGGGCTTGTTTTCCTTTCTTCTGCATTTCTCTTGCAAGTCCCCGTCGAGGTTGTGGCAAAAGCGACTCGCGAGCTAGTGCGTTTTTTTTCCAGGCAAGGCAGGTGCCTTCGTTGCCTGGTCCAGGGACAGCCTGGAGGCCAGACTTGCTCGGAAAGAAGAGACGTCGGCTGGAGCCTGACCCGAGGGAGCAAGGGCCCGGGGCGCCGGCCGGGGTGCTGTGCCAGGTGCCAGGGGGCTGCGCCCTGGCCGACGCGATTCGGCAGTTTGGAGGAGCACTGGGGGCTCTGCTTAGTGTAGCGGCTGGGGTCGCACGGCCAGTCCGCTGGCAGACCTCAGGAGGCCGGCCCTGGCGATCGGGATGGTCTGGCGTGGAGCAGGATGGTCAGAACCGAAGCAGTACCAATGCCAAGCTTGTAATCTTAGTAGCGAAATCAAGCAAGTCAGTTTCTCCCACCCCCAACCCCAACCCAAGAATGACAGGAGAAAAAGAGAAAGGCAAGCAAAATTTAAGAGAAACAGCATTCCCCCCAAAAGTTACAATCCAAAGCTCTTTGAAAAGCAAGCATTTGAAAGAATGGAGGCCAACTTCCATTAACTGGGACACCGGTTTAAGCAGATCAATGAGGGAACAATTTATTTGCCATTTTAGTTGCCGCTAGGGAGGCTATGTGATTTTCAAAATTTGGAATCTGAAATAAAAGGGACGTTCCATCTATCACCTCCTGCCTTTTACTGAAGAGACAGAGACCTGAGAGGTCAAGAAACAGGGCTTCGTGCCCTGGGTTCGCTGCTGGTGACCCTGCTGTCTGCCTTTTCTGAGGTGCCCATCCTGGGGTACAGTGTGGTGAGGAATGTGATCAGTAAGCCCTGCGGCAGCAGAACCATTTACAAGGGGGAATTGCCCTTTCTGCACTTCTGACTGGGAAGGAGAGAAAGCTGGCATTTGGACTGGTTAAGAAAAGCCTTCATTGAGCTGCAAGGAGTGGGAAGGGGTCGGTAGGTTGTTGGATGGCAGGCGTGGTGGGATAGTCGAGGAGTGTGATTGGGAGGAGTAGAGGATTGACGATGGTCCAGAGTGAGCAGTGGTGACAGGTGCGCAGCAGGAGGGCTTTCTCTGGGCGCTGCTTTGAGCTGTGGGGAGGGAGTTAGCGTAGGGGCCGAAGACTGTAGAGACTTGGTTGTGCCCCTGAACAGCACACTGGCACCTCATGTTGAGCTTTTGGGAAGTGGAGGTTGGTGGTGCCTTGTGAGAACTGCCAGAGGTAAAGGGATCAAGGACGAGTTTGCTTCCCCCTCATTTGAATGCAGGTTTTAGTGTGTTAAGCATAGCACCTGCCTCTCAGTGGCTTTCCTTAGTAGACAGTGAGCACGAGGCCTGCAGACGTGAAAAGGGAAATGTAAGGTGTGTTTGTCCAGCACTTGGGGCACTACTGCACACTGACTCTGGAATGTTCTTGTGGTTCTTTTGGGAAAGACTTCAGGTTATATACCATCAGCAGGGAAGACGCAGTGGGTAAGACATGATGCCCTATAGAGACTCAAGCCAGTTTTCCCCTAGGAGAGTCTGGGTTTGTTGTCCAGCGTCTGTGATGAACTCAAAATGAGGCCTTTCCCTTCCTGTTATGTTCCCAAGTCAAGCAGATCTTATGTTGTCATTGTACCTGTGGCTTTGACGTTATTTGGAGTTTGCTTTGGATTTATAGGGAATGTGTAGTTTTCTTAGTCTTAATGGCACAAGGATCAACCAAAAAGAGGTGGGGAAGATCCTGCAAAAAGTTAGAAGACACTGGATCTTGGAGATTCAGATATCCTGTTGCTCGTGGAAGGATGGCATCTCCCCAGAGCTGTACTCTTCACCTTCAGGCATTTAGCTGGGAAGCAAATGACATGGCCACGCCAATTGAGCAATCCTGAATTACCACATCCACCAACGGGCTGGTTTTAACGGGGCTCTTAAGAATGTTGTAAAAATCAAGACTAATGTGGTCGGGAGGAGAGCACTGTGCTGGTGGTGGCTTTTAGAAGATGTAGGATTCTAATTTGGCAGATTTTTAGCAATTTCTTTTTAAATCTTTAAAACAGATTAAGTTTACCCATAAAAATAATGGGGGCGGCCCTCCCTGGTGGCACAGCGGGTTAAAGCATTGCACTGAGAAACTAAAGCCACCTCCGCATGAGTTCGATTCCCGCCTGCCCCGGAGGTGACCACATGGCGTGGCGGACCTCTCCTGACCTGCCCGCTGCTCCCCTCAGCAGTGTACTTCGTCAATCTGCTTGTTCTGCTCCCCACTCTGTCTCTGGTGAATCCTCTCACCCTCCGCATCTCTGGCCTGTACCCCAGTTCTGTACGAATAAATAAATAAATCTTTAAAAAAAATAATGGGGGCGAAGATGATGTGCATTTTGACTGGTTTTAGGCTTTTCTATGGAGAGAGGCAAGTAGAGACAATTAAGGAAGTAGTAATGGAGTATCTCTTATTGTGATGCTAAATGTGTTATTAGATAGTAAAAACCTAAACATGTGAGGTCTCTGTTGGTACTTAAAATAATCTGACATGTTTGTTTCCCATCCTCAGAACTAGGTTTTGTTTCATTGAGGATTATAGTTTGTTTCCTTTCACACACACACACAATACACATCTCCAGTTTTATTTTCTTCGTAACTCTCCCTTTCCAGTATAGACTTATTTTGTTCATTGTTTCCCACTGACCTCACACCCAACCCCCCAAATTATCTGTTCTTTGACAGTAACTTTATGATGGCGCCACATAGGATATGCTCAGTAAACATTTGTAGGATGAATAAATGGATAAATACATGCATGAATGAGGGATCCCACTTTTTAAAGTTGGGTGGGAGTGAAGGTGCAGCTTTTCTTACTGAGGCTAACCTGTTCATGGGAACAGAAGCATCTCCTGTCTCTTCATTTTCCTGTTTACCTGGCAGTTTGACTGCTGAAAAGCTGGAGGTTTAGGGGGGAAGTAAAGACCTCCTTCTGTCTCTTTTTTGGATCTCTTTCTGAGAGGGAGGGATAGCAGCACCCACTTCTCAGGTGGCTTTGGTTTCCACCACCTGAGAGTGGTCTGGAGGAGTGACAGCAGGGAAAACCTTCCTCTAGTTAGAACATGGGATGGCAGAATACAGTGTTCTAAGATGTTTCCAATGCTCCCTTACAGAAGTGATTTTGCTGCCTTGGAAAGGAAGACGTTATTCAGTGTTCACTTGGAGACAGCCTCCTGTCCTTGGGAATATTTCTCATAAAGGTTGTCTTCTCTGGGAAACAGAGTGAAAGGGGTAGCTTTGGGGAGGCATCTCTCTTTTGTCCCCAGTGTTCTGTGAATCATTAGAAGAAGCAGCATAATTGTAACTTTAAAGACCAATATCACCACTGAGATGTATCCAGAAGGATTTTTATTTTTCAGGTTTTTATGTGCAGTTCTATATAACCCTGCCAAAAGAAGCTGGCACTTAAAAATTAGTAATTTGAATAAAATAATTATTTTCTACTTTTTAGAATGTTTATCTTCAGCCCCTGTTACAGACACTGCGCTTGTAGTAATTATGGGCCATTTACTTCTTAAACAGTTAGGGCTGCAGGAGGACATCTGGGATAGTGGGACACATAGGCTGTGGTGTCAAGATCTGTCCTTTGGTTATGGTGTTGAGCCGAGAAGCCTTGGGTTCATTTATTCCATTTCTTTAAGCTTTAGTTACAACTCAGCCTTAAGACAAGGACAATAATAAAGTTTATGTTAGAAGCTCAGAGGGTGTTTTTCACAGTGGCCGTACCATTTTACTTTCCTGCCAATAGTGCACAAAGGTTCCTGTTAAAATAATGTGTGGAATTAAGCAATATACATTAAGGACTGGCTAGTAGGCTTGAAAAACAAAGGCAAAATGCAGTTTTAAAAAATGAACACCAGGAAGACTCCTGAGAATAAAAGTAGTTTGTATTGTAGTGACGGATAGGAGACATATTTTTATCTGCTAGAAAGTGCAGTGTTTTATAAGTATAATTAGGAGATTATTTAAATAGCAATTTGTAAATATTGCCCAAAGGAAAGGCATTTACAGGATTTGGGTACAGGACATCTTTGACCACATTAAGTCCTAAACTTAATAGAGAGAATTTAATAAAGAGAACTTCACCTTGGTGTTCCTGTGTTGAGGGTGAGTGGCTGTGCCCAGAGTGAATTCTTTACTTACTACCCTTGGAAAAGTATGTCACTGTGCCACAGTGTAACCAGAAAGGTGAAATTGCTACCAAGGGTCACAAGACTTGCTCTTTTCATCAAAAGATTGGAAACTGGTGAAATCGAGCACAGATGTTGTCTGTCTAGACCAGGTTCTTCTGACACTGGCTGGAGTTCTGCTCAAGTAGCTGCGCATGACAATTTCATATCCTCCTCTGTTGGCTCAGTAGGGTAGCCATAGCATTTTGTAAACTTCCCAGATAATGGCTCTAGACTCTGAGCTTTGGTCCCGTTTCCCAAAAGAACAATAAAGAAGGATTCACAAATAAAGGAAGTCCTTTAATTTGAGGATCATAAATCAGGAGGATTACATAGGTAAGATAACATACATCTTTAAGGACTGATAAGCCATTAATGAAAAGCTTTGGGTTTTTCCAACAGTTGCATTTAATGAGAACATAACAAGAGCAATGCGTTTGTAATTAGAGAATCAAACAGGCAGGTACAAGCGTGTGGGTGGTGGGCTGGCGAGCTAGCTAGCCATGCAGCCTAATTGGAACTCTTCCCGAGAAAGTGAAAATGGGAGAGGCTGGTAGCTTTTAAAGAATTCATTTTCTGTGAAGAGATAGGGTTTTTTGATCTCAATTCTACATTTTGGTGGCA